CGTGATCAAAAGTTCTTATGCCAAAACAGATTATAGGCAACTAGAGTAACAGTTGGAACGGTGGACAGTGCGCAAGGATCTGAGCGATCGGTAGTCATCCTGTGTACAACCCGGACGCAAATGGAGACCAGGGACCAACAAACGTTCTTTTCGGACACAAAACGACTAAATGTGGCATTGTCCCGTGGTAACGACGGTCTCTTTATCCTCGGTTCAGTCAAGTTTTTACAGGACGTCCATACCTGGTCCGCTATCGTTCGATGGTGCCGCCGAGCCAACGTTGTCACCGATCTCCACTTCTTTGACAGTCAAGTGCGGCCAATGCTGCGTCTTTGAGGCCGAGGACGGACTCTCGGTAAAGGGGGGAGGTGTAAATAGTATTTACGGTTATATTTATCAGGTAAGTACACCTACTCATACTTTATACTTTTGCTTTCTTCTAGTAAGTTCTCTTAATCATTATTCATGTAATGTTGCAATCATCTCCGTTTCCCATATACTTTGTTTACAGATTGCTCCGCGCCGTCGCTCGCGAGATGCCACTAGATAAGGAGGGAGGAGCGGTCTGAAGACAGTGAGGAACCGACGACCAACGAGCCACCTCGTCTACGGGTTCAGATCTCTTTATTCTTGTGCTTTATTGTTGTTTGTTTTCCCGGGATATCGATACTCATTGTTATTTTGGTGCTATAACGATAAACGCGTATGTTGGAAAGTGTTTTTGGACATGTCGAAGGCTGAGTTATGATCTAGTATGGTATTTGCCATTAAGAGGGTGGCAACATATCCATAAGTCCCCATCATTTTACTCTGGATTGTAATACATTTTTTGCAATTGGTAACTAAATGGTTCAATAGATACATAGCAGTGGCGTACCGAGGGGGAGGGCGGGGGCGCCTCCCCCCCCCCCGAGAATGGGTCGCGAAATTTTTGAAAGTTACTTATATGAGTTATAAAAATGTGCAAGTGACTTGTTTACTTTTGTAAATAATTAAAATTTTGAAAATTTTCAAAAATCAAAATTAGCCTTGTAAAAAAATTTTTTTCGGGAGCGTGGCTGACGCCACACCCCCCTCGAGTTTGGGTCTCGAAACTTTTGAAAATTACTGACATGAGATGAAAAAATATCCAAGTGACTTTCCTGCACACTTTCGCTCTCGCTTTCCTGCTATATCCTGCACTTTGATTTTGTTAAGACAACTCTCTGTTTTCTCCTTCGCGATGGTCATCACAAACTGTCAGGGTCCCACTTCCCTCTTCCTTTTCCTTCTACATCATAATTGAATGGTAGAGCCTGCGTGACACCTTCTTTTCGACTAGCGCTCGGTTACCGTTTTAGTCCGTTTCGGTTAACTAGCAAGCTTGAATGACATGCCCGAGTTAGACACACTTCCGGATTTCCATATCACCCATCGTGTTGAAAGATCGTATTTGTAACACAACTGTGCCCTTCTTGCCAGTAGAGGCGGGGGAGGGGGCGGGTGGTATGGGCAGGGTGGAGATTCGGTGAGCGGGTACGCTGGCGGCCCCCTATAAGTGCACCCCTGGCTGTGTCGGCGTGGGCTGCCAGTGTATCCGTTTGCCTGGTCTCCGTCTTGTCCGTGCTGCTTGTCCACTACAAGTCTGACGTCAAGCTAGGGTAGGTTGTGTTGTGATTCATTATCTGTGGAATTCACTTGTGGATGTGTCATTTTGGCTTCTCACTAGTGTCATTTACTTGTTTGAGCCTGTATGGCAACCATGTCACTACTACGACTACTACTACGACTACTACTACTAAACTACTTTGTTTTCAAGTCATTATCTTTCTGTCTCTTTCTACCTCGCATCATGCGGTCCTTTGTTGGATTTTTGAAAGCACGCCTATGTGCATATGAAATAATTAATAAGTGAATAAGTAACTTGTTTATACTTGTAAATAATTAAAATAATTTCTAAAATTTTTAAAAACTCAAATTAGCCTGTAAAACAATTTCGAGGTCATGGGCCCGCAAAATTTTTGGGAATCGGGCTGCACCACGCACCTTCATTTCAAAACATATACAGGGTGTCTCAAAAAAAATCTGTCTAATGCTTGATTGTTAATATCTCTCTTATAATGAAGCTTTCAAAGACCTTTAGGTACGATCAGCTTAGATTTGCAATATGGAGTGAATCACCGAGAGTCTTTCACTGCTGTAATATGTAAATTCTACAAGGCGACAAATCTCAATGAATTCATTTCTTTTTTACTGACAGGGAAATGATAGTTGGTTGAAGTGGCTTTTTGAGATGGGTTGTGTACCATTTTGGAGGGCATAAAACGCTGGTTCCAAATCTGACTTCATTATCTATCATTAAATAAACACTTTTAGATGAGATTTATCCGCACTTTGGCTGGCGATTGTTTTTATCTTAGAAAAACATTCATTTTTGCTGCTTTAAACGCTCATAACTCCTCGTCCAGCAATGCGCCGCAGATGAGGAGGGCAAATTTGGCATCAGCATTTTACGCCCTCCAACATCGTATACACATCATGGCAAAAGGTCACTTCAAATGACCATCCTTTCCTTGTGAGTATGATAAGCCCTTCAGCAGCAAGCTGCCCATAATTTCGCCCTTATGAGTTAATTCAGGCTGTGCACGGCTCCACGTTTGCTCAAAAACCGTGAAACCTCTATTTTTAACAGATTTTGCAAAAAAAAAGCTTTGATGCTTCTTATCATATCACTAGCTGGCAAACCCGGCTCCGCCCAGCCCTGTCAATAATATATTCGTAATCAGCATGCTCACTTACCCCCCTGTGCCAACTCCCAGCCCAGCTCGAACTTTTTGAAAAATCAATAAAATCGATATCGATCGATGACGAAAAGTAGCCTATGGCACCCGCCCGTCCCCGAAGTGTATGTGTGCAAAGTTTGGTCCGGATCGTTTCAGAAATAAAAATTTCTATTCGAAACATACGTACATACATACAAACATACATTCAGACATACAAACAGACATTCAGCTTTATATATAAGATTAGAAATCGAACGCTTTAGTTTTGTATACACAAGTATATTAAAGTATATTAGAAATTGACTGCCTTCATTCAAAAAGAGAAAAGTTATGGGCAAAGTTGCAAGACTTATTTGCCGACCTAATATAATATATGAACTTCTTCAAAATCTACCTTTTGTATCCTGAAAACGTTGAAAAGATCGTCGAGCATTGTGCCTGTAGCATTTGAAGAATAACGAATAAATACGCGATGCGGGTAATAGTACAGCTGGCAGTGCCTGAATAAATTCGAAATGCTCTTTAGAGATTTTATGCGGAATTAGTACCAACCAGTTCTGAGGGAAGAAATGTTGATCTTCAAGAGTCTTCGAAAATCGATTCTTTTTCACCTAAACTCAGAATAACTTTTCGCAACATTTTTGTCAGTAAAAAATCTCGAATCTGCTGGAAGTTTATTCGTGAAGGGGGCAGTCTGATTGCAATCTATATATTAGGTCATTCCGAAAGTATTTTCGCTTTTTTAAAACCGGCGCCACATTCGATGGAACAAACATTTCTAAGAGATCTTGGCAGTGGTCGATGCAGAATCTCACTCTCTCTCTCTAACGGTTATGAAACTGTTGCAAAACAGTCAATAAGCTTTCAGAAAATAACCAAAATCTGCGACCTAGGCTTTTTGAGATGGTCAAGTTTCACAATTTTTTAAATCTTTCATATCAATTTTCAGAAGGAGGTCAAGTAAGTATTCAATAGAGTAAACCATATAGAATACAGTACTACTTTTGTCTCTTTCTCATAGCTCGCCATAATTTAAAAAAAATTTTTTTTCAAAGCCATCGGATTTTGGCAGGCCCACCTCAGCCACAATCGCATCAAACATCAGTAATTACTCGGAATTTCAAACTTTCAAGATGATTTATGACTTAATATTGATTTTATAAAGCAAATGAGAGTTTACGGATTCGAAATATCAAGTTTCGAGTTTTTCTGGTACAGCCTGGGGCTCCCTAAAAAATTGAATTGTGATAATTTTATCCCCGAAAACTAAACGGATCGGAAACAAAAAACACCCATTGGAAAGAGGAGAAAATGCTGCATTGAATAGTGCCCGAGCTGCTCTTCCTTTGATATTCTACGAGGATTTAGGTGTACAAATATGGAAATCGGTAGCATCAGCTAAAATTCTATTAAAAATGTGACAAGCTATGGAAAGGAGGAAAAAGTTGGGCTGTATTCTATGAGGTTTGCTCTATCGAACCGTCTCTTGAACTTTTTCTGAGGATTAATATGAAAGTTTTAAAAAATCGTGAAACTTGACCATCTCAAAAAGCATTGGTCGCAGATTTTGGTTACTTTCTGAAGCCCCATTGACTGTTTTGCAACATTTCAACATAACCGTTAGAAAGAGAATAAAATTCTGCATCGAACGCTACCAAGATTTCCTAAAAATCTTTGTTCCATCGAATGTGGCGCCCGTTTGAAAAAGGCGAAATTACTTTCGGAATGACCTAATATATGCAATGTCCGGCGCAGCTAGTAAGAGTGGCTGGTCATCCTTTTCGGGATAAAGCAAAGAGGATATCGTATTTGCTTCCCCTGGATGGAGCCCCGGAAAAAATCACAGAGAAATACATTAGAATCGAATCCTCTTGTTGAAAATTTTCCATCCAGACACCCCATCGTTCTGAGAAAGTTAAGACAGGACCTACATGCTCTGACGCGATGTCACACAGCGCGAGAATTCAAAATTTCTGCCAAATAAACAAATGTCTTGTTTACGCGACATCTATGGCTGAGGAATTTATGAAGATTTATATTATAGTCGTGATCAATTTTTTATGAACACCTGGAACTTTCCATGTGGTTACTGATTGTGAGTTGGATCCGAACCTGTGCTCCCATGATTTTCAAAATTTTTTTCATAAGTCATAACTCTGACTCAATCCGGATCATGTTACGCCTACGGCTTGCTAAAGGAGATCGCGATAGGTCCTGCCTGTCCTGTCCTCATTCTCCTTAATCTTCCAAGCCATAGCAGAATCCCGATTGGGAAAAGTTGCAAGACTTTGGTTGAGCTACCTCTATCACCATCCTCTCATATTCCTTGATTATGAAGCATGTCATATTTGCCTTGCAACCATTACAGTACGCCCCTGGTAGATGATCCCTGTAATGAAGAACACAGTTAGCAGTCTCGTTTGCTGCTTTCAGCGACATGACGAACGCGTTGATGTCATATTTACGCTTTCCGACAATTATAGAGGTTTGTAATACCTGATGCATTTATCAATGAATCCCGATAGAAAACGATCTACAGGATCGCGAATGACCATAGTGTGCATCCAGCCATCCTCGTTATGCTCATATATACGCCATAGAAGATTTTGCATCGATGGTGCTTTGAAGTGATTTGCACAAGATCTGTATGTGATTACGTTAACTCTACAATGCAAGAACTACTACTTCTCGACAGAAGTATGACTGAAGAAGAATACGGTCCTTTTAAACCCTGTGAATTTTTTTGATTACTCTCCTCCCTTCCGCCCCCTTATAAAGGGTACGTGTAAATTTGTTATTAAAGGCAGCGTCCAGGCAAATCTGGGCCTATGGAGATCTCACTTGGAGGGTAATCTTGGAGCCCTAACTAAACCACTGCCCAAGCGGCACCTCAAATGGTAAGCTCACAGTTGAGATATTCGCCCCCAAACTGGACTTCGGGATCGTATTCGCATGGATTCACGGCGCGACACATCAGTTTTCAGTTTCGCGCGGGACCCACGTGTGTCGCGCCATGAATCCATGCTAATACGATCCCGGGGTCCAGTTTGGAGGCGAATATCTCAACTGTGAGTTCACCATTTGAGCTGCCGCTCGGGCAGTGTCTTAGTTAGGGCTCCAAAACTACTTTCCACATCAGAACCCCGTATGTCCAAATTTGCCTGGACGCTGCCTCTAATATGTATGTGTTACCTCATGTGCTGACTTTCACTGAAGAATTTCCTTCCGCTCTGACGAAAGCCGTCCTCATCTGAGAGAAAGCAGAAAATCGCTTGCATCACAGTTGACATGCACTTTTGAATCAGGCATGTAGAGATTTTGTACTTCGGTGCTATCCTAACCTATGTACATGTGGATATAGCGACTTTATCAGAAAAAATTTCAAATAGATAAGGACTAAATGAAAAGATGTGTTCGCGTAATTGTGACTGGGCCTACTTCGACCTTAAAAAATTTGCGCAAACTTTGATCGACGTGCAATCCAAAGTTCAATGCAGAAATTACAATTACCGAAATTGGATCCCTTTCTAAAAGTCCTATGGAGCTCTAGCTTATTATGCATGCGATCTCCACATCAGACGTTCACATGTAGAATTGCTCTACTTTTTGTGATCAGAAATCGGAAAGAAATGTCAACTATATGCACCCAATCTCCGTTCATACTAAATTCGATATTTTTAAGGGATAGCGCTGGGAAGAAGTTACAAATTTTTTATTCCATAAATCTGCATTATAGAATTCATAAGCGGAAGAGACTTGGGACAGCTCAAACTACATTCACGTCCATATTTCCCGCGTAGAGGGCTTCATGAACGCAGACGATGTGATCCTAATGGGAAGGAGCAGAAATGAACTCCAAAAAGATGTACAGACATAGAAAGATTAGCTGAGCTTTACGAACTGAAGCTGAACAAAACAAAGAGGGGTACATGGAGTTGGTAGCGCATACACTAGGGACCATTCAAGTTGAAGGCACTCTAATCAAAAAGGCCACCTCTTTCAAGTACTTTGAAAGCCGTACAACCTCGGATGGTAATTTACAAGACAAAATAACCTGTAGACTGAATGCAGCTTAGACGAAGTGGAGAAGAGTCACTGAAGTCCGCGATAGAAGAATACCGCTACAACTGACGTCTATGTTATATCGACCGCTATATGGGACCAAATGCTGGCCCTGCACACAGAACGATGAGAGAAAGGTCGGCTAATGAAAGGTGAAGGCGAAGTACTATGAAGGTCACAATCAACCACATCACGAACGACACTCACGAAGCATATTGGAAGCCATACCGGTTGTAGAAGATACAAGAGGAAATCTTTCGATGGTATGGAGCACGGAGGCGAAGAAAAGAGGACCACAAAACCAGTTCAGCCATATAAGTAGAAGTGCCAGGAAAGAAGCCAAGAGCAGGAAGTCTGGAGAGAGTGAGAGCAGACATGAAAGAACTTGGATGGAACAAAGAGTTGGCCTTAATTAAAAGGGGAGATGTCGTCCGGTGATCGTGTGCCACACCTCTTGCTCGATTATGATCGTAGCTGAAGTGACATATAATATATACCAGTGCGTCACCTCTGCTTCGCAGAGGCTCACACTGGCCCTATTTTCTGTATGCCTTACTTATTCCCGTATAATAATGACATTGAAACTCACCGCGCTATGTAGGCTATCACGAATAATTCGTAAACAACTACTCATTCGTAGAGGTTTTCCATGTGAGATCGGTATTTTCGCGTGGATAAAATCTTTCCCAGAAGAACAGATGCAAATTCGAGTAGGTTTTTGAAATTTTTATGGCTTGGTAGTCGCCGTAAAGACAATAAACATAGTGGGCTACATCGCTGTGCAAAAATCTTCTTAAATGATCAGGTAGAATCTTAAAAAATTGACCGTTCACACAGCGAATGCTTCTTGGCGCTGTTTTCGTAAAGTAGTAGACGTTTCATTACTTTTTTAGGCTAACATCCATGGCTTGACATTAGCTTGTCAAATATATCCTTAACTCTGCAAAAAGTAGTACTACGGACCCAAATTTGCTGGCCAGAAGCCAAGCGGATCCGTTTGACGCGCAATTTTCAATGGATCCACTAAACGGATCCGCTTATGCTTTTGTATAGTGAGCTTTCATGCTGGTAGCGTGCGCTGTGCAAAATTTGGGCTCAGGACGTTGGCTGGAACACGTTCTACAAATTTCGTGACAGACAGAGATTCACACACACACACACACACACACACACACACACACACACACACACACACACACACACACACACACACACACACACACACACACACACACACACACACACACACACACACACACACACACACACACACACACACACACACACACACACACACACACACACACACACACACACACACACACACACACACACACACACACACACACACACACACACACACACACACACACACACACACACACACACACACACACACACACACACACACACACACACACACACACACACACACACACACACACACACACACACACACACACACACACACACACACACACACACACACACACACACACACACACACACACACACACACACACACACACACACACACACACACACACACACACACACACACACACACACACACACACACACACACACACACACACACACACACACACACACACACACACACACACACACACACACACACACAAACGTAAACAACCCTTAGCCCGTTATTATAAGTTACTAGTTGACTTACCCGGCTCCGCCCGGCCCTGTCATTATTATATTCGTAATCAGCATGCTCGATTACCCCCCTGTGCCAACTCCCAGCCCTGTGGCTCAAATTTTGCAAAAATCGATAAAATCGATATCGATCGATGACGAAAAGTGGCCTATGACACCCGCCGGGGCTGGATGTGTATGTATGCCAAGTTTGGTCCAGATCGGTTCAGAAATGGAATTTTCTATTCGGAACATATGTACACACAGACATACAGACGGACAGACAAACAGACATTCAGCTTTATATATAAGACTAGCTGGCTTACCCGGCTCCGCCGTATCCGGACCAAACTTGGCACACATACACTTCGGGCCCCGGCGGGTGTCACAGTCCACTTTTCGTTATCGATCGATGTCGATTTTACCGATTTTTATCGATTTTTTGCAGAGTTCACCTACAGGGCTAGGAGTTGGCACAGGGGGGGGGGGGAAGTGAGCATGGGGATTCCGAATACAATATTAGTTTTCAGAATTATCGATTACTTTTATTGATTTTATCGATTTTTTGTAAATTTTGACATGCGAGGCTGGGATTTTGCACAGGGGGTAATCGAGCATGCTGATTACGAACACAATATTAGTTTTCAGGATCGTCCATTACTTTTATCGATTTTATCGATTTTTTTGTAAAGTTTGACCTGCGGGGCTGGGAGTTTGCACAGGGGGTAATCGAGCATGCAGATTACGAATACAAAATTAGTTTTCAAGATCGTCCATTACTTTTATCGATTTTATCGTTTTTTTGAAAATTTGAGCCAGGGGGCTGGAATTTGGCACAGGGGTGTAATCGAGCATGCTGATCACCCCCCTTGGGGATGATCAGCATGCTCGATTACTCCCCTGTGCCAACTCCCAGCCCCCTAGCTCAAACTTTGCAAAAAAATCGATAAAATCGATAAAAGTAATCGATAATCCCGAAAACCAATATTGTATTCGGAATCCCCATGCTCGATTACCCCCCTGTGCCAACTCCCAGCCCCGTAGCTCAAATTTTGCAAAAAAATCGATAAAATCGATAAAAGTAATCGATCATCCTGAAAACCAATATTGTATTCGGAATCCCCATGCTCGATTACCCCCCTGTGCCAACTCCCAGCCCCGTAGGTGAACTCAGCAAAAAAATCGATAAAAATCGATAAAATCGATATCGATCGATGACGAAAAGTAGCCTATGACACCCGCCGGGGCCCGAAGTGTATGTGTGCCAAGTTTGGTCCGGATCGGTTCAGAAATGGAATTTTCTATTCGGAACATACGTACACACATACATACATACATACATACATACATACAGACAAACAGACATTCAGCTTTATATATAAGATGATATATATAGGTGATAATGGTGAGGTGACATTCGTTAACTTTATGGCGGATAACCCCTCTCATTTAAAACACAAGCATATTGAGAATTGGTCCATCACCGTATACGTGCGGTAAGCATGAAGAGAAGCATCACCACCCTGTTATTGAAGAGTGTTATTTTCTCTATCAGCGAGTCATATCTCTGTAATTTATGCAGATCTCAACTCCTTCCTTGCCCATGTTATAATCCCACTTCGAATAACCACCAAACTATGGAATCATGAGCCAACCAAAATTACACTATCTCAATTCTCCATAAGTGAACTTTTGGGAGACAATTTATACATGGTTCAATAGCTTAAATCTTTGTTTTCGCAAAAGTGATTTGAATTTGACTTGTTGTCATTCGTCTGAGTAAATTGTTTTACGGGGAATTCTTGTAAGAATTACTGCTTCGTATTCGGTGCAAAAAGAGGAAGCTAACTATTTAGAACAAAGTCGACAAAATGAAAATAACCATCTTTCTTTGTTGGCCTATATCTGAAGACCTCTTAGTTGGCCTAGTATCTAAAGAATTTGCTTTAACTTGGCCCAGGGGGTTATTTGACAAGCTAGTTACAAAAGTGAAATTCTTCATGTTTTTGGTAGGGCCTCCATCCTACGATTACGGTAGGTAAGAGGTATGGTCTATTTTTAAAATCGTGACGACGAGTTGACTGCGGTCTTTGCGCATACAGGAGCATAAAAGACCCATACAAGAAGGCATCACCTCAACGCTCAGCTCAGTCATTTCCAGTGTCTTAATACTATCACAAGTAAGCAGAAAAACTATTTGATTAGAGCTAGAAACCAAGAAATGGGAGCGCGTGCGTGTGTGTCTCTTGTTCAACTCTGGGTACGAAATACTACAATATGACCGCATCTCAGAGACTCCGTGTCAGAATCAGCAAAATTCAAGCTTAGTTTGTTCTGTACCGTGCCCCTACCGCTTTTCGAGGGAGGTCTTATCATGCGGACTCAGTCATATCATGGTAAACAAAGACCGCTATCGACAAGGAATTTGGGTTAAGGGCAGCGGCTCGGCAGAATTATGAGATATTCATGTTCTCGATTTCTCTGCATGAACTAAGTCCAAAACTGTGCTTTGCATTCAAAAGATATCAATAATCCGCATTTCCAGACGTAAAAAGTGCTATTTGGGCGGACATCGTATTCCTGCCCTCTAGAGCGCGACTGGCTCCTGAGTGAAGACACCGTACCCATCTCAGTGGCAATTGGATCTTATCAGATTCTTACTACTTGGATACACACGCCCAAGCTCATCTCCTACGATTTTCCCTTCCTGTTGCCGCCAGTATGCTGTTCGATCTCATGTATTACACCTGTGTCCAATTTGTTGTTATCATGTTGACGTAGACTGGTTATCGTATTGGTGCTCAGTTTTCCTCTTGCAGTTGTCTCATAGTTCGCCAAAGTTTTTCGCGGTGTGATTTCCTCTGACTTTGGAGGCGTTCAGTTTCTGTGAGTGTGCTATTTGTTTATCTTTTAAGTCTGGTTCTGTTCCAATCTTTTCCTTGGCTATCGGTTTATCTTGAACCAGTGCGTCACCTCTGCTTCGCAGAGGCTCGCACTGGTTCTCCTATCTGTATGCCCCACTCATTCTCGCATAACATGACATTGGAACTTACCGCGCAACGCCTGCCTTCACGAATAAATCGTAAACAACTATTCATTCCGAAAGCATTTTCGGGTGAGATCGGTATTTTGTGTGCATGAAACTTTGGAATAGGAGAACAAATGCAGATTTAAAGCACTTTTGAATTTTTTCATGGCTTGGTAGTCGCCATGAAGATAATATCCATCGTGAACTACATCCCTGTGCAAAAATTGCTTGGAATGATCATGTAAAACCGTGGCAAACCCGCCATTCACACAACCACTTTTTTCTGGCGCCGTTTTCGTAGAGTGATAAACTTTTGGTCACTTTTTTGGGCTAAATTTCATGGCTTGCACATTCACTTGTCAAATATAATCACGACTTTGCAACAAGTGGTGATACGGACCCAATTTTGCACGCCAAAAGCTAGGTGGATCCGTTCAACGTGCAATTTTTGAGCGATCAACTCAACGGATCCGCTTGTGCTTTGGCATGGTGAATCTGGATGGTGGCAGTGCGTGTTGTGCAGAAAATTGCAGCTTGAAACTTTGTCTATGGTTCGTTCTATGAATTTCGTTACAGACAGGCAGATACACACACAAAAACACGTAAACACCCTTAGCTCGTTATTATAAGTCATGATATTTCTGCAATGTGTAAGAGGCGAATTGCGCTTGGCACCAATAGGAAGAAAAAGCGTAGAAGATGGAAAGCGTAGGCGCGTGCACAAAAGTAGTAAGAATCTGTGATTTTGGCTTCTATAAACGAAAGGGCAGCGGCGGCTACGGGCTGCTAACGGCGCCTGCCGGCGCTGTATGAAGGCACTCTAAGAAAGGCTTTGCGATCTATCGCCAACGCGTGAGTAACATCGATCGTTCAAGAACACGTATTAATTTCCAAACCTGTAGACTATAGTAAATCTCTGTACCGACTCGAAACTTAGCCTCGAATATTCTCAGAGGTGGTATACATTGATAATCTGAGTAATTGCTACACATTTCGTCTGCAGTTCGTGTGTCAGTTCTGTTTGGAAGTGCCTGGAATAAAGGTTTGAGGATATGAAAGTGCGTATCAGTTTCACTTACGTCACTATTGAACTTCTTCACAACCTCCATTTCAGACAGATTTCGCCATGGCAAACTTCCAACAGATTTGTTCATTCCATCAGATCGATCCAAGTAAGAATATAATGAGAATATCAAAGTAATCAGTAACAATGTGTAGGGGTATAGGTGGTCTGTCAGGGTGACAGATTGGTCTGTCATGGGGACCAATGAGGATCACTGAGTGGCTTTGATTTTCCACAAAGCGTGAGCTGCGATCTTGCACCTACCTGCAATAAATCAGCGATTACAACAGTGCATCAAGAGAAAGCATATCGCCATTGCACAAGTTGTCTTCCGCAACGTTTTAGCCGCGCTTCGCGACCCTCCCCCCTCAAACTTTAGCCCTCCATTTGATGAATCATCTACAAGGGTTTTCAATTAAAGTACCGCAGCTAAGAGCGAATGCCGGTATTGTACCACGTGAGAGACCCAAGCGAGGCGACTCGCAAGGACCTGAATCACGTCGACCGTGACACTCAGATTGAAAGCCCCTTTATTTGTTGTACTGGAATGTTGCACTTCTGCCGTCTTCAGTGATTGTAAAATGCATTAGGCCTTTTTTGCTGCATGGAGCGCAAATTTCCTGATGCCCTGCGCCCATAATTTTCAACCTACTCGTAGAGGAGAATTTCCTATGCATCTTCAAACCTGGAGAATGGTGATACTATTTTATTGCCTAATGTTTCGGATGGAGTCGTTTTCGGAAATTGAAAAGGTGCCAGTCAAAAAAAAACTATTTCAGTCACTCGAAAAAAGTGGATGCGATTTCGAGTAAAGTTGTTAAACCAACAAGTGTAAATTCGTATACAGATAAACATACGTGTGCGCATATATGTTGTAGTAGTGCGTAGCCACTGAAATGGAACGACAGTTGTGATCAGTGGCGTACCAAAGGAAAAGGAAGGACCCCCTTCCTAAAAATGGATCGCGAAGTTTTTTATAGCAGTCATTACCTGACTCATAAAAATGTGCAAGTGACCATGCAAACTTGTAACAATGTGATTAAGTCTCAATTTTTTTGTAACAAATTATCTTCGTGTTTTTTTTTCAAAGGCGTATCTCATGTCTCTTATAGGAAAGGATACTTGATGATTGGCCATTCATAATGAGACACAAACTCAATGTGCCTTGAGCGCTGACTTCAAATCTGCTTTCGCTGTTTGCTAAGCGATTGTCTGAAAAGTTACGAGAGTTTTTTTATAAGAATTTGCACCGTTTCAGTCAAGCAAAACTGTTCAGAACGTGAACAGTTATCACTTGATTATGAGTTTAGCAAGGTAATATCATCGGAGGAGAACGAACCTCCAATCACTTTCACGCTTGACCGCTTTCATTACCTATATCAAATTTGATTTCGCTCTAGGCCTTGCATTTTCCCATGATCTTGGACAGTGATCAAGCGAGCTTTCTTATAGTAACACTAGCTGAAATGCCCGACTTCGCCTGCCCGCGGGCTCAAATGGCTCAACAACTTGTTGCGTAATTTTTATGAACACAACTTATCTGCTTGGTTTCCTTTTGTTTTCAGTGTAACACACGCCAGATTTACCTGCTGACAGCATTACCGTGAATTACCGCGTTTCCAGCATCTTGCATAAAAATGAGTTCTACCGTTACTGTTTACAAAATTCAGAAGCGGTTTGATAGTACTTTACAAGAGTTTATTTTTCTTTAACATCGATAAATCAATAAAAAGTGTCGGTTTCGCCGCGAAAAGTAGCTTGTGAGGTGGACTAACAATTTACCAACACTCAGTTTTACCTATATATGTGTGGATATAGATAGAATAATATTCCTCGCTCCTCTTGATGTGTGAAACTATCGCATCATATTGAAAATACAAAAGTGGCTAGCGGTACTTTCTCATTTGAATAAAGGTATGTGTTTTCGTTTGCGTCTCATGGGATGAGGTGCTATTTTCATTACTCTGATTGGTAAGAAAACAATGATTCCAACTTGTTACTTTCAAACTCTCACTTTGGTACAAAATGGAATAACCATGGAACAATCACGGTAGCCTGTTGCTTGCTTACTTGTTTATTTCAAGATTCTGTACGACCGATGGAACTAGGAGGTCGGCAGAAGATGAATGGTTTTTGCTATGTTTACTATGTAGAGTTTGAAAGTAACAAGTTGGAATCATTGTTTTCTTACCAATCAGAGTAATGAAAATAGATTAAACAACAACATACTTTGTGATGATTTCGACCAAATTACTCCCACTCTAGATATTAATGTCTGTCTGCTGTTATGTGCGAAATTTCTTCGGAAAGAGCTCAGTGATTTCATATAGTCATTTAGAAAATAGCTAAAGCAGATTTGTAATCAGCATTCAAAGGCGCATCTAGTGACATTTATTACGAATACGAATACTAGTACGTATCCTTCTGTTATTAAAACGTGTTGAAAATGGCAGATTCAAGGCACTTCGAAACGCAATGGGTTGGCAAACAAGCACTGTGCAAAGAAAATTTAGATAATGGTACTCGACATTTTGGTGGTAGTGATATGAAAGAGAGTGCGACAACGACGACAAGAGGAGGTAAGTCAAGAAATGTGTGGCATTCTTGAATCGCTCATTCTAACCTCTACTGGAAAATACTTGAAAAGACCAACATAAACTCTAGTCTCTTTTTATTTGAAAAAGTCATACCATCGTTCCCAAAGCTTTGGAAACTGCGCACTAAGCGCTAAATATCACATTGAGCGAGGCAAGCGGGGTGCCTAGTACAGTGCTGGCCAAAACTATACGTCCACCCTGAAATCTGCTGTGACTCATCTGCTTCTCAACGAATTGATCTGAAATTTGGTACAGCTGTGTGTTTAACAGTCTACCATCAGCACCTAGAACGGATCCCGTTTTTGTTTATTCAGGAAAAAATCAGAAATTTCGAAAAAAGCAGGCTTGAAGGTTGGCCAAAACTATACTTCCACTTAAGGTTTCTGTCCACTAAGGTAATTCTCCGCTTCCAAAATCTTTTGTGCATATACAGGGTGTCCCAAAAAAATGTGCCTACTGTTTGATTGTCAATAACTCTCTTGTAATGAAGTGTTTCGAGAAGCTTTAGGTACCGTTTTGTAGAGCGAGCTTAAACTTAGATTTACGGTATGAGAGCGAATCATCTATCGCTCTTCATTACTGTAGGATTACGGTACCAACTTCGACAAGGATTTTAGGTCATTGGAAGCTATATTCTGCCTCGGAACAAAACCAAACAAGCCAGAAACTCTTACACTATGGTAATGGGAGCCGCTGATTTCGAATTTGAAATTCCCATTCTACTATGATGCTTCTTTCCGAAGTTATCCCCGGTAAATCGTAATAAATCAGTTCCCGGCATTTGTCAGAAATGTAATTACACTGTCAGAAAAGCTGAAAACACTCGTAAAAAGTTGTTAAGTGGAATCAGCATGCGCGAAAACCCTAATACACGATTTTTCAGATCTTTTGAAAAAAATTTTGTTAGGTGGTATATCTCACAATGGTTCCATATGCTGGAAGTTCTTACCGTAGTCCTACAGTAATGAAGAGCGATCGATGATTCGTTTCATACTGTAAATCTAAGTTCAACCTCGCTCTTCAAAACGGTACCTGAAGCTTCTCGAAACACTTCATTACAAGAGAGTTATTTACAATCAAACAGTAGGCACATTTTTTGGGACACCCTGTACATAGTTAAAAGTTAAAACAGTCGCTTTAGTCGAAACAGTCGCTGTGTCATACCTTTATAAGAAACGCTATTCTGCTTTTTTTCGCTTAAAAATACTTTCACAGGTATTCTGTTCCCGAGAATGTGTTTTTATGGGTAATTTCGCAGTTTCTTGACTGGATTGGAAGCGATAGGGCTCCATTTATCTTATAGATGCTTAGGGAAGTGAGGACTAGAAAAAAATCTAAGTTTTCATATTTAAAGTGCACCCGACATAGACCTAACAGCAAGCCTGCGCTCAAATTTTTGCCTTCAAAGTTGGTTTATGTTATTTTTGTAAGCTCTACATGATGTAGAAGGATTATTTACATAAAAAGAAGTTTGTACACTATACTCACGACTGTTCGCCAAGTCGCATTTTGCTTCGTTTTCAAAGCATAAATCTTTGCGGTTCAATGATAATAATTAGGCAATCCCAAAGTACTTACCAAGTGATATCTTTCCCTATTTTTGCCACTATTTAGTTGCTAGGTAGAGAACACACTCTGTATTGAATGTTACCTTGTGACTCACGTGAGCATTACTGTCAGAACCAAAAATAAGTTCAAGGCTTTTTGCAAATCAGTTTTTGCAGGTTGATTTCCTCAATTAGCCTGCATGCTAGGACCTGCGGAAATCTGCAACCACTGCATTCGGACTCTCACACGTACAACAATGTTAGTACTCTACCTCACGCTCATGAGCACATTGCAGGAGAAGTTAGGCAAAAATTTAGGCGCAGGCCTGCGCTTAGGTCTATGTTGGGTGCCCTTTGAATTTGAAAACTCAAATTTTTTACTAGTTCTTACTTCGCTAAGCATCTATAAGATAGATGGAGCCCTATCGCTTCCAAGCCAGTCAAGAAACTGCGAAATTACCCATAAAAACACATTCTCGGGAACAAAATACCTGTGAAAGTATTTTTAAGCGAAAAAAAGCAGAATAGCGTTTCTTATAAAGGTATGACACAGCTGGACTAAAGCGACTGTTTTGACTTTTGACTAAGTATATGCACAAAAGATTTTGGAAGCGGAGAATTACCTTAGTGGACAGAAACCTTAAGTGGAAGTATAGTTTTGGCCAACCTTCAAGCCTGCTTTTTTCGAAATTTCTGATTTTTTCCTGAATAAACAAAAACGGGATCCGTTCTAGGTGCTGATGGTAGCCTGTTGAACACACAGCTATACCAAATTTCAGATCAATTCGTTGAGAAGCAGATGAGTCACGGCAGTTTTCAGGGTGGACGTATAGTTTTGGCCAGCACTGTATCAGGTGTCAAAAAAAATGCGTTGAAACCTTAATGTCTAAAGGTCTGCGAATTGGTTATCTGTTACAAGACTTACATCACCAAAAGGTGAGATTCAGAGAAAATGATGTGACATGCGAAGCCCGTATGCAACATTTTTCTTTTAACCCTATGCGAAATCTAAAAACCAGGTCCCAAAAATGTCCCAGAAATATGCCTACTGT